ATTGCCTCCTGTATGAACTCTGACTGGGAATGGAACCTGCAAACTAAGTATGTGCCCTCATGGGGAATTAAACCCGCAACTATTTTTGGTGTACAGGTCAATGCTCCAACTGACTGAGCCACCCTGTCAGGGCTAATATGATCATTCTTATGGTTATTCTGATACAGTCAACACAGAGGTTTAAGCTGTGACTGTCACAGAGTAGTCTCTCCAGCCTCAATTTTCCAATGGATCCCCTTGTCCCAAAGCCCCGCCACCACCACACACACACACACACAGCTTACCATGCCTTATCCTGGACTTGCCCAGACTTTATTCTACCTTCATGATTTTCTTAAATCAGTGGACCACATATGCTATCGTTTATTATTTTTCTGAAAATCAGTTTACTTTTCATATTAATGAAAAATGTTTTAATTACCTCAACTACTACCTTTTATTGCTATAGCAACTAATATGTGTGTGTATATTTTTCTAATCTGTGCTAAAATAAAGAAAGTGTGGGCAACCCCCCCCCCGCCGCCCCACAGTGACCTGGCCTCCAGCGTGTGAGCCCCACATTGGAATCACCGCTCCATCCAGCGCTCTCCCCTGGACTCACAGTGTGGACTCTCCTCTGTGCCTTCGCACAGAGCACTGAGTGCTCTCAGTGGTGCCTCATTTCTGTTTATACCTGGTGAGCTCCTACCCACCAAGGTGCTGCTTCCATGTCCCTTCTTCATCTGCTCTTCCAAGTGGCTGCTGGCCGCATCCTCTGATCTCCTGGCATCTGCATACCAGGCGAGGACTGGCCAGCTCTGCCTTGGTCTCTGCAGACTGTGAACTCCTCCAAGACCAGGAACTCATCTTCTCTGTACCCTCTTTAACTAGCCAGGGCTCTGGACACAGTAGGGTGCCCACAATTGTGGACGCGATGAGTCTGCTCTGATGAGAGATGGGAGTCTTCAACGTAGAGGGGTGACATAGTGCTAGAATGTTCATATATATATATATATGAACATAAATTATATATATATATATAATTTATTGATTTCAAAGAGGAAGGAAGAGGGAGCGCGAGATAGAAATATCAATGATGAGAATCACTGATTGGCTGCCTCCTGCACGCCCCCCTTTGGGGATGGAGGCGGCAACCCAGGTATGTACCCTGACCAGGAATCGAACCATCGAACTGTGATTTCCTGGTTCATAGGTCAACGCTCCACCACTGAGCCACATCAGCAGGGCTAAAATGTTCTTTCTGAAGGTTGAGGATGGGTGAATTGTCCTGAAGAACAGAATTCAAAATGTACTTCTCTTTTTCCTAACTTCTCTTCTGCTTGCTGTCTGCGTCCTCCCAGGTCATGAGCAGCCGTTTCCTGCCCTATGACAACATCGTCACGGACGCAGTGCTCAGCCTGGACGAGGACACCGTGCTCTCCACCACAGAGGTAAGCGCCCCACCCGAGGAGCTGGCAGTGGGCTCTTCGGGCAGGTGCCCCAAACTTCGAGGTGCCAGCGCTTCTTTCTCCCGTGCTTCGGCCAGATCGGAAACCTGTTTCACACGTTCCTGCAGAGCTGGTTTTAATCAACCCAGTTCTTGTGCACACCTTGCACCCCTGGCACCCTGAGGGGGCATCTTCCCCTTCATTTTCTCTGCTAATTGGCACCTCATTTGCATGGCTGTACCTCACCTCTCCCCTCCTGCCTGCCCTCATTTTCTGTTTTTGAACAGCAAGCTGCTGGCAGGTGCGGAGAAGCACCAATGGGAGGCACCCGTGTAGCATCACCTTGCCACCACTCTGTCCGGAGCAAGCAGTCTGCTCCTGCCCCAGTTATCGTCATGCCTGTGTGGGCGTGCGTTGCCTCCGTCAGGGAACACTCCTCTGGGTTCTCAAGGCAGCTTTTCTGTCCTGGTTTCAAGTGCTCATTTTCTCTCACCTACATAAGAGCAAACGGTTTCACTTTAAGGCCGAGATGGCAATCCCTGCTATTTCAGACAGTCAGGTATGTGTGCCAAAAATAAGACCGCACGGAGAATGTGTGAGGAGGAGAGAGCAGGGGAAAGAGAGATATGGTAGAAAAGCAATTTTTACCCCTCGGATGAGTATTGATCTCTGAAACCTTACTTTAAACCATGCAGGGAACCAAAACAGTTATAGAAAACTGTACTGTGTCAGAAATACGTCATTAATAGTGGCTGCTAAAAAGTGTGGAGACATAACTACTTATCCCTTCCCCTCCTCCCTTTCTTTTTTTTCCTTTTTATTCATAATCATCTTTCCTTGTAAACATGAACACCTCCCAGCATGTACTTTCCTGGACGCCAGGATGATTCCCGTGGCCTGTTGCCCACATGGCCAGGACTCGGGGTTACCCTAAGCTACCAGTTAGTGCCGCTTTCTTGAAATTCCATGGGCACTTCCCATTTCCATCAAATGGAGTAGAAGAAACGTTATAAGAAAGGTCAGCCTACATAACCCCAGGACAAAATATCCTATGTAAAGCGCTTTCTATGTAGTTGAAGCTCTGTAGAGACTCGGTGAATGAATGACTGGAGGGTTGTGCTAAGGGGATGAAGGTGTGAACTCACAGCCGACTGTGTCTTGTGAACATCAGCAGGAGGAGAAGCAATGCCTAAAGTTCACAGGGGCAGGCACCTATGGAATACGGGTGTGGATAACTCAGCTTGCTGCTTCCTGCGAGGGGAGCTGGCATTCCAGGAGTACATTCATTCAACAAGTGTTTGTTGAGGGATTTCTTTGTTCTGGTCTGCATGCCAGGTGCTTTGATTACACAGTTCCTGGCTGTAGCCATCAGAATCTTGGCAGCAAACAATTCAAATCAGGTGGTTCCAATGGAGGGATTTAGGATGATTTAGAGAGGTGGGTGGGTGGGATTAAAAGGCTCCACAAGCAATAGTGAGGCACCTGGAGAGTAACAAGAATGGAAACAGCTCTGACCCCTGGGCTTGAAGGAGCCGGGGAAGGAGATGGTGTTTCCAGAGTCCCCGAGATATGGGACTGGGAGAAGAGGCTGCCCTACAGGACATGGAGGGACATGGCAACTGCCTGAACTCTGGTGCCAAAGCTGGGAGGGCACAGGGAAGAAATACCCTGACCTCCCTCTCCATCTCATCTTCACTTTTCTTCTGATGGCTCCCACTGACCTGACCCAGTCAGCCACCAGCCGGCAAGGAAGACCAGGTTGTGCCGCACACAGGGTTCCCGCATCAGAGTACAGAGTGTGGCAAGAAGAGTAGAGAGTGGATCTCAGAGAGCAAACAAGAGAAGCATCCCATGGGCATGGCAGAATGTATGATCGAGACAATGACAGCATACCCCTAAACCCTTACCGTATTTCCTGAAGTCTGGACGCATCACCACTCCTCCTCCCTGGGCACAAGGCACTTCATCTCCCTCTAGGACAGTGATTCTCATCCTCGGCTGCACATGAGAATCACTGCTCTAGGATTTGTTTTCCCCACCCCAAGGTGAAATGACTTTCAGGTGCTGTGATGCAGCCGCGTGCTGGTGAATTTCTTTCCAAAGACGAGCAGTCCCAGCCTCTGGGTGCACCCGGGGAGGAACATGTGTTGTATGTGAGGTATTCAGAAGTCAACATGGGTTGAAAATGATATGCAAATGTAAGAGGCGGGCAGTCTGGTTTACGGCAGCCGGGGGATCAGTGGAATGGTTGTGTTGCCTAAAATGGTCCATGACAAGATTTCTCTTTTCCCTTTTTTTCAGGTGAGTAGATATTGGTTCATTTTATTTCTTCTCTAAGGATTCTTAGCTTGTTTAAATGTCTCTCTGTGGCATTAAGGAGCGGTTTTTAAACAGGCTCCTTTAAAGGGTATTAGATGTAGTTGCTTTATAGTTATTTACATTTATCGGGGCTGCTGCAAATTCTCAAAAGAAAACAGATGTTGGTTTTTAAGAGAAAAGGCCATGAGCTGACCTTTCCCTCCTCTGATGTGTTAATGATCTGCATGAAAGCAGAACAATCACAAGAATCATAGTTTTATCTGAATTTACTTTTGAGTTCCTTTGAAATGGCTTGAAACGACTCTGAGATAGCAAGAAATCCATGTGATGCAAACACCCCATCGGGTCTCTAGTAGTTTCCAGTGCGTGTTTCCTTTTCAAGAACAATGGGAAACCCTCAAGTACTGACAGCCAGGCTGATCCTTTGAGAAGGGCTGAATAATACACTGTCCCATCAGTCAGCGCCATTAGCATTTGAATGCCAGTGAGGATATGCAGATGATCACAACCTGATTTCAATTCTCTGGCACATACTGCTGTCTTTTAAATCTGAGATGCCCCATGCCCCACCAAGCATTCTTAATGGGGGGGGGGGGGGGGGAGCTATGTTGTTAAGGCTTTCTTATCTGGAGTTAGGACACCAAACTCAATTTCATAAAAACTTGAATTTATGGCTGCTTACAAAAATGGTGACTTGTGTCCTGGCCGGTGTGGCTCAGTTGGTTGAGTGTCATCCCATGCACAAAAAAGTTGCCCCTTCCATTCCCCCATCAAGGCATCTGCCTGGGTTGTGGGCTAGATCCCTGGTAGTGGACGTGCAGGAGGCAGCCATTGGATGTTCCACTCTCACAATTATGTATCTCTTTTTTATTTTTCTCACCCTCCCCCCCCTCTCTCTCTCTTAAAAAAATCAATTTAAAAAAACCCACTCTCACAATTATGTATCTCTTTTTTCTTTTTCTCACCCTCTCCCTTTCTCTCTCTCTCTCTCTCTCTCTCTCTCTCTCTCTCTCTCCTGGGCATGTGCAGATGAAAAAAATCAATTTAAAAAAATGATGGCTTCTAATTAAGCCTCCCAAAATTCAGAGTTAAAAGGGACCCTACAATCACCCAGGCCAGTGTTTCCCAAAAAGTGGTTAGTGCACATTAGTTTTACACAGTTCATGGCAAGCATGTATTTAACTTAACACATACATTTACTTTAATGTTTGTTAGAAAGTAATGTGGTCAGTGATCAAACCTAGAATTTTACTGACATCTTTACCTAGGAGAGTGGTTCTCAACCTTCCTAATGCCGCGACCCTTTAATACAGTTCCTCATGTTGTGATGACCCCAGATTTCATTGTTACAAATTCAACATAATTAAAGCATAGTGATCAATCACAAAAACAATATGTAATTATATATGTGTTTTCCAGTGGTCTTAGGCGACCCCTGTGAAAGGGTCGTTTGACCCCCAAAGGGGTCGCGATCCACAGGTTGAGAACCAATGACCTAGGATAAGGCTAGTGAGGAAAAGCAAGCAAACAACAGCAAAAGAACAGGCAGTTGAAAGAAAAATATTAAGTAACTCATTGAATGTGTGGTCTGGGAATGTGTATGATGAACGCTTGGGAAATACTGATCTAGGTTTATTTGCTTTGTCTCTTCTTTTAATTGAGGTAAAATTCGCATAACATAAAACTGACCATTTTAAAGTGCATAGTTACTGTCATGTGGGACATTTACAGGCCATGTAGTCATTGCCTCTGTCTTATTCTAAAACATTTTCATGGCCCCAAAAGGAAACCCCATACCCATTAACCAGTCCCACTCCCTAACCTTAGGAACCGCCAATCTGTCCTCTGTCTCTATGTATTAGCATATTCTGCACTTTCATGTAAATGGAATCATATACTCTGTGGCCTTTTGCGTGTGGCTCCTAGCACTCAGCATCCTGTTTCAAGGGTTGTCCATGTTGCATAGCGTGTATATCAGTATTTCATTCCTTTCTATAGCTGAATGTGTGGATGTAGCATGCTTAGTTTATTTATTCAGTGGTTCACAGAACTAGGGTTGCTTTCACCTTTTGGCTGTTGTGAAGAGTTTTTTGCTCTGCTCTTGAACCTCTGAGAGGTCACAGTGCCGAGGCTTGAACGATTGGTGGAGTAAATGAAATCTTCATTTTCATTGCTTATCAAGAAGACATAGAGCAAAGGTTGCCAGGTGAATGTGTAGCCTGTATAAGAGAGAAATTGCTTTCAATGCCGTAGCAACAGAGCTAAAAGAGAGGCTATGAAAACAGTACACACTAAATCTGAAACCAGTGGCTGGAGCTTCAATCCTGGCTCTGCCACTTACAGCTCAGCCAGATAATTTCAGCCTGCATATACCTCAGCTTCCCTCTCTGCAATATTGAGAATAGAACATAACCTTTTCACAGAATTAGGCTTCAGTGAGTTAAACATGTAAGTACCTGTAACCATTGTAAGCATGACACAGTTAGGGGCATTGTATGGTAGTTCGCTATTACTATTTTCATTTTTACTTTCTATATTATTTTATGTATCATCCATGGAATGATCATAAGGAAGCCAGATATAAGCTGACCTATATGAAAACAGACTTTGCTAATTATAAATGTTAGTTGATAGTGTATTCAGAAATCCCTGCTTTGGGTTATTATAAGCACTGGAAAGTCATGTAGCTGCATTTCCTTTAAATGAATTCTGTGGCTTCCCCTGGCCTTGTCCTCACTTATTCTTAGTGATTTTTCACTGAGGTTGCTTTTTCTAGCTGTCCCTGGCCAGAACCCGAGAGGCCGGAATGACTGCTGCTTTATGATGTGTGCTCTGTGTTCCCCTTAGACCTTGGGTGTGTTTGAAACATCTTTTCTGTCGCTCTCAAGAGGATGCTCTTCTGTTAGTCCCTTTGGCTTTGCTGTGTGCCGGTTATGATGTATGCTGGATATGCATCCTCTGGATGTACACAGGAAATCTCCCGTGTATAAAACAGACACATTCATGGCTCACGTGAATCAGGGGTCACGTGCGCCTTCAGGTGGGAGGGAGGAAGCAACTGCTTTTATGACTTGTTTTCTAGCTTGAACAGACTGGATTTCTAAAGGCCCTAACAGTAAATGTAGGGTTTCTTCTTCTTCTTCTCTCATTTCTGCACTACTCGGAAGTTTCTATAACAGAAAACATTAAAATGTGCATAATTATGGGGCAAAATGTCAAGCAGTCGGTTTAATTTGCTGATGAGTACATGGAACCAGTGTTTCGCAACAGTGGCGGGCTTCGGGTTAGGAATTAGCAGGGGAAGGTAATGTTTTGTTGACATGGTTAACGCTTGTTGATTGCTTGTTTGGCCTGTGTTCTGCCTGCAGGTGGATTTTGCCTTCACCGTCTGGCAGAGCTTCCCCGAGAGAATTGTGGGGTACCCGGCGCGCAGCCACTTCTGGGATAACTCTAAGGAGCGGTGGGGGTACACGTCCAAGTGGACAAATGACTACTCCATGGTGTTGACTGGAGCTGCTATTTATCACAAGTGAGGAATTTGCATGTCTCGCGTGCTTAGATGTTTATATACTCCTTGCATTCGTTTCTGACTGCGGTGTAAGTAGGAACTTGAGTCAAGTCTTGTGAACAACATTAACGGAAATTCGGTTGCATCCCCCTTTAAGTTTTGTTGATGTGACCAACATGTGTCTTTGAAACCAATAAAATCTCTTGGCTTATTGCATTTCCAGTAATTATGGGAGAGTAACATCTCCATGTCTATCTTATATTCTAACAAGGGAGACACAATATACATAATCGTTCTATAATACGTTAAGGTGAGAAGTTACATAGCAAAAAGGCAAAGTAGAACAGAGGCACCCAAAGAGAAGGGGCGGATTTGGGGTAAGATTGCCAAGTTAGTTAGTGTTCCTGACTCAAGTGTGAAGGAAATCCCCACTCTTCTGCCTTAGTGAGGTAAGCACACCAATCTTCACCTAATCTTCTTAGTAAAGAATAGAGGCTTTTGCCATATCAGGGATAGAGTTGAAATGCACAAGGTATAAACATTTTGGTTGGTAGAACCTCCATCTTAAGATTATACCTCTTATTCATTGTTCCCCATAGTTCATTGTTCCCTTTCTTCTTGCACTGCCACTTAGTGAATCTGATTCATTCAAATGATTAAAAAAGAATATATATACATATATATATATATATGCTATATGCCCCTCCAAAAAATAGTAGCGTGAAAATAATGCAAATTAATATGGGTTCTGCACAATGATTCACCACCAGATTAATTATGGTTTTGCTCTCTAACTGTTGAAATATATGGTTTATAGGCCACAAAAATAGAATAGTATATTGTTGGATTTGGAGTTATGGGATAATCTTAAATGCAGTTCTGATTAAACCAATAAAAATTGTAAAGCAGATTATAATAATATATAGATTACATGTAAGTTTTCTTTCCATGTAAGTATTCTGTTTCTTATCAACCAGCCTGATAATAAAGTTAGGAAGTTAGGCTGGGCAAGCTATATCTGCATGTATCTCTTTACCTTGTCTCTTTATCTGTATGTAGGGATAATAATAATACTTACATCATAGGTTCCTTATAAGAATTAGGTGTGGCATTTGTTGTGAAGTACTTTAGAATGTTATTGGGTATACAGGGTGGGGCAAAAGTAGATTTACAGTTGGGAGTACACAAAACATAGAGTTTATTCTTATATTATTTATAAATTATTGTATTATTTTTCATACAAATAATTATAAATTTACTTTTGCCCCACCCTGTATAGTAAGTACCATAAGTCATAGTTATCATCACCATCCATGATATGTGTAGGGATCCAAAGAATGGGTATATGGTTTCTGTCAAAGAAGACCACCATATATAATGATGGCCCCTCAGGAAATGTCTTTGGTTTTTACAGATATTATCACTACCTGTACACCCATTATCTGCCAGCCAGCCTGAAGAACATGGTGGACCAGCTGGCCAACTGTGAGGACATTCTTATGAATTTCCTGGTGTCTGCTGTGACAAAATTGCCTCCAATCAAAGTGACCCAGAAGAAGCAGTATAAGGAGACAATGATGGGTCAGGTAAGAGGACTCTCCTTCCTTGTTTTGCTTGCTGGTGGTTAACCTGAAGGTAGTAAGGAGTCACTGTTCTTCTACGAAGCATAATGAGGGGACATCAGAAAAACAAAATGAAAACCCACATCTAAAGTATCTGAGAGAGTTTATGGTTGGCACATGGATAATTTGGAAGGCGTAAGTCCAGGGTATCTTTATGTCAAGATTATGTATATGACCTACATGGCAGCATCAAAAAGATACACCTTCTCCAGAGTTAAAGACCTACAGGGACTTTATGTAAGCTTATCATCAGTGCTTTATTTAACAAATAGCTAATAATAACTCTCAACACAGCCTTCTGGTGGTTGTTGAGTTGGGTGAGCATCATGCTGGCAGACCAGGCCTCTCACTTATAGAACCAGCATTTATAAGCTACAGGCAAGTCAACTGCCTTCTGAAACTCATTTGGCTGATCTTTAACATGGAAATGGGGAAATCTGCCTCACAGAGTTGAGAAAACATATATGAAAGATTTTATAAAAGTAAAATATTGCATTGAGTCATAAAAGTTTAGTACTAAAGATACTCACCAGGAAATATAATCTAATTTTCTCTTTTTATAAGTAAGGAAACTAGGAGCCAGAGGAATTGAAGTATATTGCTACAAGTTGTCCAGTGTATGAAAGTCAGAACTGGAAGTTGAATCCCAGACTCTGTTATTTCTGCTGCTTGTACTTCCACTACCCGCCCCAACCTCAGGATGATCTGCATATTTTGGCTCAACTACCCCTTATTCAACCTGCACAGAGCTCAGTACCATAAGTAAGAAGTCAGAAACCTTAATAAGACCATTTAGATCTACTCGAGTTAAATCATAGATTATCATCCAACAGGATTTGAGTCAGCCATAAAAAACATATTTTTAACATGGTTATGTCAGTTTCATTGTTTCGGGTGTTCCATTTACCTTGTTCTAACAGTTATTGAAAATCATTTACAAATCTAGCTTTTGTAAAGGAAAATTTAGCCAGGCCTCACAATTGATCGTTTTTCACTCACTAAATTTAGTAAGAGCAGCAAATTTATAGGATTCTAAGTTTATAAAATGCAGTCATTCAGTAGTTACTGAACATGTATGGTTTATGTCAGGTACTGTTCTAGGTACTGGTTATGACACAGCTGCTATCCTGAATAAGCAAAAAAGTCTAGTGAAAATTCTATTTCTCTCTCACTACTAAAAGAACATGCAAGAGGATTTGCAAGAATGTTTAATCTTTAAAGCTGAAAGGCTATTCATATTCAAGCAAGATGTATTGAGTGTTTTCTGTGTGCCCAGGTATTTTCATATATATTATCTCATTTAAGGATACAGCATTCCTATAATATTGCTTGCTCAGCGAGTTCTGTGAACTTCCCTGAGGTTATATGCTGATTATGGGTGGAATTCTAATGACACATGATTTCTTAGGGGTTGGTTTAATGCCCTTCTCATAGATTTGCCTAAATTCTACCAAACCAATATTTCTAATAATTTTGCACATCTTTTGAGGACAAATCTAAATTTAGCCTTAGGTCTCACTAGATGTGTCTAGTTAAACATGTACTGCATTTGCTCCATTCTTCCCATCAAACACATTTGTTTATTGAATGATTGTATGACTAGTGAGTTCAATGAATATCATACTTGAAGATTGTACTTTTATTACACTGCAAAGATACCCTCTCTAATGTTTGTTGACTCAAAATATAATCTAGAGACAAAAAAGTTACCTGAGTGATCCAATGGACTTTTTAAAAATTATTTTTAAGAGAGATTAAGAATGAGCTTACGCTCTTGACAGTATTTCTATTTGCATATGTGAGCACTTGCCCTTGGTTGTCTTGCCCTTTGGGAATGAGTGGACCAATCCAAAAGCTCATACCAACTTAGGAACAGTGACATGTCTTTGGGACTGTCTCCTCTGTTCTGAACTCAAACGCGGAGGTTAATTTGATTTACCAAGCAGAGTTCTCCTAATATAAGTGTTCAAGAATGGAACCCGAGTTCTGTTCCTTTCTAGCCTTGAACAAATAATTTTAACTTCCCTGAGCCTACTTCCTTGCCTATACAGTGGGGATGTGAGTACGAGGTAGATAACTTGACCAGGTTGTTGTGAAACTCATATGAACTTCATGAAAACACTTAAATCATATTTTGTTTTTCTGCTGTTCAGAGGTAACTTGACATTTGTATTTACCTTCAAGCATGTTGACACTTGTTTTAAAGTGACTCTGGGTGATTTTCACAGTCAGAGGTACCTTCCTATTCCTATGACAGTATTTCTAACAATCACGAGGATTCGAGCACCAGGATCACAAGCACACACACATATACGTCACTAAACAGTTGCCTAATGACATAAATGAGTTTGTGTTCTGCTCCCATAAAGGTTGGGCAGCCCACCTTTTCCTTGTTTCATAAAAATGTGGTTTTAGAGACGTTGTGTTTAGTCCATCTATTTAAATTTCAGCCGTCAGGTTATTTAAGGCTTTCTTTTAAGTCAGTGTCAGTCATTCAAGGTCTAAAAAATATTTACCCAACCTTAGGAGCAACACAGAGAGCTAAAGAGATGGTATCTATCCTCAACCAAGTGCACAAAGTTTTAGAAAACTATCTTTGAAACCACAAACACATTGTTAGTCATAATATTTGATCCCAAGTGCAAAGAGAAGTTTATATTTAGTTACCATAGTAGTGGAGGTTCAACTGGTAAGTCATTTTGCTGAGCAGAGAATTAGTCATTCCATGTGGGCCATTGTTTGCATGTGTGTATTTAGCATTGAGGAAAGTAGCATATCTTAGGAAAACCAGAATCAGTGCTTGAATTTTCATCAAGCCAAGGATGGGGAGGTTTGGGGTCCAGGCCTGACTTGGTTTTCTGCATTGTCTCCATCTCACCTTGCCCTTCGCTCACCATCTCCTTCCTTGTTTTTCTCTTTTCCCCAGACTTCTCGGGCTTCCCGCTGGGCTGACCCTGACCACTTTGCCCAGCGACAGAGCTGCATGAATACGTTTGCCAGCTGGTTTGGCTACATGCCGCTGATCCACTCTCAGATGAGGCTCGACCCCGTCCTCTTTAAAGACCAGGTCTCTATTCTGAGGAAGAAATACCGAGACATTGAGCGACTTTGAGGAATCCAGCCACGTGGGGGAGGGGAAGCGAGAAGGGACTGGGGTCAAGCTGCTCTCTCTTCCCAGTGCAGATCCGCTCAGCCACGGGGCCAGATTGTGCCAAGTAGCCAAATAAACTTACATGAACAGAATGACACAAAAACAAACAAAAAAGTCCAATGAGAACTTGACTCCTGGCTCCTGGGACTGCACGGGACTGCTCCAAACTCACCTCACTGGCTGCCATGTCCCAAGACTAGGTTGTGTACAGTTTAATTATGGAACATTAAATAATTATTTTTGAAATGATTGCTATGCAGGTTTAAACTTTTTTAATGATCAAAACTATTAAAAACCAGAGTTCTTTCTTTAATCAAAATTGTGTTGGTTGTGACTATTTCAAAGCTGCTGCTCCTCTTCCCACAACATCATTGCCATTGGTCATGCGGGGTTTCCCGCAGTTGCAAAAGCTCAGACTTCATGGGCCACACAATAAGTCCCTCTGTCCAGCGTCAAGAAATAATTGAGCATAAGTTAAGACAAGTTCATTATTCAACTCTGCCAGTGCAAATTGTTTTCCACTTTGAATTTGCAGATCCACTTGAACTTTATTCTCTAAAATGTCGCTGCATGAGAGAAAGTATTATGACTTCAGGTAGACAGTTCTAACTGAAAACTTTGAGATCTGTAAGTATGATCATCTTCTTCATTGGGGGTTGGGGGGAACTAGAAGCAAGAAAACACCAGAATAATGAACAGATGTTCAGTTTGCTCAAGGAACCATCCAAACAATCACCAGCAAGCATGCTAGTGGGATGGGAGTAACCCAATTCTTTTCAGAGTTGGGGGCTAGATGATGCATTCACCCATGGACCTGCATCTGCTTACAGCTGGGAAAAGCTTTGGTTAAAGGCAAAGGAAGTATATTGAGAATGAGTATATGGAGAGGAACAGGTTATTTACAAGACAGGCTCTTCCATGCTTGTGAAAACCTCAAGTGTCAGAGCTTCTCTATTGAGAAAGAAGGAAGAAGGTATCAATTCTCACCATTGAACATGAGGATTGTTGAGAAGTAACCTCACTATTGGGACCTGGAGACCATTTTTGGTCAAAACATTCTTGTTTTGAGCAAGAATCTGGCACTCAAAATAATCAGAAACAAATGTGAATGCTGTCTTACTTCATTTTCATTTTTAAATCTGGAGTCGTTCAGTTGTGCTTCTGGTTAAAAAGACAGTTTCTATCTCTGCAGATGCTGCTTTGAGCTTCTGATTATTGTAAAACTGCAAATAATAAGCTAAAAATATATATGTATATTGCTTAACTCCATTGTAAATGATGGAGAGGAGTCTTCTAATACTAAATGCTTTCTTCTACTTGGAAGAGGCAAGAGAGATTAGAGAAGAGAAAGACATTATTGTTCCTACCATCTCTTATTCTGAATAAACAAGCACTTTAGTTTCCCCCCCTAAATGCTCCTCAGTCTCATAAATTTACTTCCAATGTTGTTTAGAAGAAAATTCCATCACAGAATTCTGTTGAAATAACTTCAAGTGCCTGGCTTCAGCCAGTGGAAACCATAAATCCAGGAGACTGTAACTCATCCTTGCTTTGTAGACAGCTGGACGAGAAAGAGGACCTTGCAGTGAGAATGCAGGGAAGGAAGGTGCTATATACGAGGGAAACTAGGTGTTTGCAGAGGTCCAGAGAGATGACTCAACATGCACCCTAGCGACAGAGTGGAGACCAGAGCCCACACGTCCAGATGCTGTTGTGAGTGGTGTTCAGGTAATGAAGTTCAATAAAGGGGGCTTTCTCTGTAGCCTCATGACTCGGAACAGCTCCCCAAATCACTCTCATTCAATCTGACCCAGCCTTAGCCACTCTCAATCATGTGACCTTTCCTTCTAAGTATATGTGATTATCTCTTATTTGTTGAACAATAGTTCTTAGGTCCATAGTCCTTGCCCCTTCTTTCTTTCTATCACATGCCCAGTCTAATAGGTTTCATGCCATTCAAGCTGCAGCTCTCAGTGATGTGAAGGGGTAACAATTAATCCTTATTCAGCAGGCCTTTGCAAATTTGCATTGAAATTAACTTCTTTAGACTGCCAAATTATTCGTGTATCTTTCTCCTTTTCAAAAATGAATGCAGTGTTTTGTTCAAAGACACCCCAAGCCAACTTGAAACTCATGTTGTCATCTTGGCTTACAAAGCAAGAACCCTAATTATACTAGCCAGTCACATGACTGGATTCAGAGAACTGCTTTGCCAGATTTACCTGTCACAGAGCTCACAGGGCATATTCTCCACACATGATATATGTTGTGTTTGGGGGTGGGGGGGTAATTATAAATGAGAACAGGATCTGACACTTCTCCATGGTAGTATTTTACATCATTGTCTGAAAAAATCTATTTGAGATACTAGCTAGTATGTTCTTTTCCTACTTGGCACATACAGCTGGGAATTGAACAATGCTTAGCCAATCAGTGAGACCCAACAATAAGATATAATTTTAATTCACTAAGGAAAGAAGTATATTTCCATGTGGCAAGTTGACAAATCACAGCATCTCTGTAGGATGTCAGGAGTTCTCTCTCAGCCAACTCCAATGATAGCCAGAGGTCCCTAAGTGGGCCCACACGAATTGGTAAGAAGCCAAGAGCAGAGAGTGAAGTGCCAACCATGTAATGAGTTACATGCAGAAACTCCAGTGAGGACTGGACCACATAGGATTTCCATACAACTTTTTCCAGTTCCACTTTAGGACACATGATCTTAAAAAATATTTTTGTAAGCTGGCTTATATATTTATATATATGAAAAGTCTTATAAATACTGAATCAAGCTTGCATTATATTTAATATGCTATAAATATATCACCTTCATTGAAAACAACAAAATGACCCAACATTGAGACTGTGTCATTATTGCAGTCACATGACAAACGATAACATAGGTGGTCCTGCCTGGGCACATCAGCACACTTTCCAATTAGATGCTTCAGGAGAAAACGAGGTCTCTTGTACCTGGAATCTTACGTACATTACACTTGAATTTCCTCTTGTTACAAAAGGTGCTCAAAGAAGGATCAATCTTAGTTGCTTCCTTCAGATTTCCCTATAAAAGGGGTTTTTGTTTTTCTTGTGCAGTAGGTTCTGCAATACCTGGCCTTTCTTAAAGGTTACTAACCTTTCATTTAATCAGAGGTAAGATGGATGAATGTGGAGAGACCTATATACTGTTTTTGGTGTTGTTTTTTTTCAAAAGCAGCTCTTGCTTGGCTGGTGTGGCTCAGTGGTTGAGTGTCAGTCTATGAATCAGGAGGTCAAGCTTCAATTCCTGGTCAGGGCACATGCCTATGTTGCAGGCTCAATTTCCAGTAGGGGGTGTGTAGGAGGCAGCCAATCAATGATTCACATCATTGATGTTTCTCTCTCTCCCTCTCCCTTCCTCTCTGAAATAAATTAGAAAACATTAAAAAATAAAGTAAAATTTAAGAAGCTCTTGATTTAAGAACTAATGAATTTTTAATCAAACCTGTTTAAAGGGCTGGCATGGGAAGCAGGCAGGGAGCCTCACCAGGTGAGACTCTGAATAAGATTCTTGCTGAACAAGCTGAATTATGGATTCAAAAGCCGAGGCAAACTTCTCAGACCTGAAAGTGTCTTCTATTCCCTCAGGTCTTTTTTATAAAGTACCAGTTATTGCTATGAACTCTCAAATAAAAACACCCCTGCCTTCGAATAGTTAAGTCATTCAAACCGTAGTGGTACATCAGGACCTAGGTTACTGAATTCATTTACCAGCTTCCCTCTGCAGCAACTATGGACAGGGACCTTTCAGATGAACTTGTCCTTCTTGGCCAGATTTAAGCAGAAAGCTCTTGTCACTGCCGGCCTCATATTCTCGGGCATGCTTGGTGGGGACAAAGTTGTTTTGACTTGAGTTCTCATTGAGTAAGTATTCATAACCTACTGTGCTAGACTTGACCCTTTAGTCTTGGAGCTTTAGCATGGAAGAGATTAGCTTATTTCTTGACTCCAAGTACATTTTTAAAAAATGGGATCGAGAATCCTAAGAACATAGTCCCTCCCATTCATTCAGTATTTTTTTTTTTTTTTGGCAACATAATCTCAATAATAAGATGACTCCCGGAAACCATCTCCCCTTTTTGTCCTTTCCAAAAATCAAAGGATTTTATTGCGATGGTTTTTACTTAGTAGGGATTGTCTGTAGTTGTCACTAATCTAGCGTTTCAACATGTCCCATATCAGGAGTCTGGGGAGTTACCCAAGTTTGGGACTTTCGCTGCCCAACTAAATAGGAGAGGAAGGCTGTATTATTATCACCTGGAATGAGAGATAAGGGGGGACCACAGAAACAGCTGTAACAGCAGATGAGCATGGTCTCACCCTTTTTTGAAAGCAAGGCAAAGCCAGCCTTTCAGTCCCTCGATCTTTGTAATGATTTGCCTTTTAGGCCTCAAAGGCCAATTCATTTCTGCAGTAGTTCTCTATTCTTCTTCAGGAATACACCCCTTTCCTTTTGGTTGTAATTATTACTAAAATCAGGGCCATCCACATGACCTGGTTACCATGAAATGAACCTTATATATTTATTTTGAAAGAAAAATATGTATATGACAATGTTGAGAGGTAGAAGAAAGCAAAAAGTGGAACTATTTTAAATGGCAAATTGTCAAGCAAAAAAAAGTATACCTTATTTTTAAATATAATGTACATTTGGAAAAGTTTTCTAATATGTTGGCCATGTTTTTGTAGTGTCAGCGCAGGTCTTTTCTGAAGTGTTTCCCCCATTTGTTAGAGACTGTGAATGATGTGGTCCAGTTAATCCCGGAAGTGTGAGAGCGAGTCTGTGAGAAAATGCAAAGCCACCGATGTTGATTTACTTCACAGACCCGTGTCACTTTCTGTCTGGGTTTTGCCATCCAAGATGGATTGTTTTATAGTGTCACCAAAGACTTTTCCTTCCAATTTATGGAAGAAGAAAAGAAATTATTAATAAATGACATGACTTTCCATCTGCGTGGTTTTCTTTCCCCCTTTTCTGTTGACCATAGGCAGGGGCCCGTCTTCAGGAGGATTCAGTGGGCTCCACGGAGCTCACGTGGAGGTTCTGGGGCAGACAGGCAGCTGAGGTTGGACCACCTGTGCTGGCTGGAGGTCCACCCCTCGCAGCCTTGCAGCCTCGGGGGCACGGTGCCGCCAGCACGGCCAGCCTCCGGGCCAGCTGCAGCTGGTGCTGTTGGCAGCAGGCCAGGCGAGCGTGGTCATGTGCCCAGTTCACAGCGTTCCTCCACACAGACCCTGGGACAGCGCGGCAGGGCTGGGCCCCGAGCATCTGGAGCCTGA